CACTTGTACAGTACTGTGCTCTATATACCATACTAATATACTGTAGGTCATTGGTCATTGAATATATGGTTTCATATTCCAATAGGTGATTGATCAGTTGTTACTTCAAAGGTCCAGATATGAATTCCTGTCTATGACTCTTGAAGTGGAGGCTCATAAACACAGAGATATTCACAGGTTACTTTGTGCTGTAGAATCAGGCTTACAGCATCTATCAAGCAGCATAGAAGAACGAATTGTATCCTTTACATATGGGGTACACACCTAGTGTCTCATGTACTCGTCATGTCATTATTGGTCTATTATATTTGACTTTGTTTTGTCACCTATCACAATGATCCTTAATGAGATATTTAGAATAAAATGTCAGAGCCAGCTCTCCTTCCACTAGATGCTAGGCGTGGTACAATAGATAGCAGAGATGTATTTGTTGGTCACCTGCACAAGATGCTCAAGCCGTCAGACACACCAGATCAAGAGGGACAACTGTTCTTAACATACAACCAACTTGTTGACTGGAGCAGCAGATTGATTGGTCGAGTACAGGAATTACAGTACACACTACAAAGCACCCAACAGCATCAAGAAAACACCCTCAGAAAACTGTGAGTACCAAAATACTGTACTTAGTACTGTTAGACTGTGCTAATAGTGACTGATGGTGTGACATGTGTACTTGTGTAGGGAGGTGAATGTACAGACTGTGCTAATAGGGACTGATAGTGTGACATGTGTACTTGTGTAGGGAGGTGAACGTATAGACTGTGCTAATAGGGACTGATAGTGTGACATGNAGGTGAACGTATAGACTGTGCTAATAGGGACTGATAGTGTGACATGTGTACTTGTGTAGGGAGGTGAACGTATAGACTGTGCTAATAGGGACTGACAGTGTGACGTGTACTTGTGTAGGGAGGTGAATGTACAGCAGTGTCAAAAGGCTGCATATGGTGGATCTACAACTGCTGGGGGTCTTCCTCAACTAACGCCACAGGTAACCCATCATAGTTCTGACAAGGACGGTAACGTCAAGCTGTCGGCGCGCTCATGAAAACCCGTTTTGCTCGCCTCATCAACGACCTTGAGATTTGAAAAATCTACGACGTCAACCAAAAGTGTTAATAACTTCACTTTGGTGATATCACGCCTCACAATCTGTCTTGCGTGTGGTTGAGTAGACATTACTGAAAAGGATTTCAATAAAATATGCAACAGAACCCTAAAGGGAATTTTTTTATAAACTTCCGGTAGAAGTAGCCGTTGTTTTGCAAATCTTAAGGTCGCCATTGTTCCGGCATGGCCGTCCTCGATACMCTTAGATGTTTAAGTCTCTAATACATTGCCTGTTCCACTGGAAGTCTAATAGTTGGATGCAGCCAGTAGTCATTGAATATTTTGGTTTGGTATTCAGCGTTTAGGTGATTCACTGGTTCAGCTAGAAGAAGTATTATCTACACTTGAACAATCGATAAAAGACATCATCAAGGACGTTGAGGGAAAGAAAAAGGTAAAAATCCATATTGATGGGTGGTTGATCGTTCTTTTATTATTAGTTGTTTGATTGTGTGCGTAAACGTTAACAAGTATATGTACCATCACGTATATAACTGGGATATAGTGCAGTTTTCGTATGACTGTGAAAAGCTCACGGCACGAACACGGTCGTGACACGGCAAGGCATAAACCAAACCAATCACATCGCGCGAGAATTTACTCCTCATCCAATCAAATGCCCGAAACACGGCACGAACACGGCGCGGACAAAATCACGCCAATGTAACGGCACTGCCAGACCAATCGAATTGCGCGAGAGAGAAAAAATCAGCCATTCAAAATGCTACAAAACATCACAGTCATACGAAAATTGCTCTATATAACATTACGCTCTCACGCAGTCCATCCAAGATAACTTGATGCAGATGCTTGCAGTTCAGCACTGGAGAGAAGTTCGAGACAATAACGCGTTCTCGTGTTAATCAGAGCATCATTTGCAGCTTCATGCCGAGTCATACGAGAATATGAAGATTGCGCGCGCCAGCACATATAGCAACCTGGGCTTCTTATTAGAACAACGACTTGCGTTCTGTGCTACAAAATCTTAATTCTTCTGCCATGTTTATACTATTTCGTTCAAGGTTCTTCGATCTGACAATCTTAAGGCGATGAAGAGAGAGTTGTTCGTGTGCTTCTTCACAGACACATCCAGGTTAAGGCGAGCCATAGCAGAACTAGCTGCACGGGTTGATGCGCAGATTGTTTCAACTCAGTGACATCATATAAACGTTGGTACGTGTTGTTAGATAATAGAATACATAAATATCGTTAATACATCCAGCAAACAATGATGTATAAATGGTGTATAAATGCTGTGGCGGATTTAGGGGGGGGAGTTTATTGGGTGCAAATGAACCCCCCTCCACCTTGGTACCTTGGATTTTTTATATTTTTTTAGATAAGTAAATAAATGTATGTTACTAACTCATGAGATTTAATATGAAATGGGACTGGTGGATAGGTTATCCTTATCAGTAGCGCCCCTAGGCCAGTGATGTGCCTCATGGGAAAAATGATGATGCAAGAGAACGTTTTTGTTGTGCCGAGATTTGCAAAAATGAACCCCCCTCTTAAAGTCCTGGATCCGCCACTGAAATGATGTATAAATGGTGTATAAATGATGTATAATGATATATAAATCTCATCCTTTCTACTCGCCGTGTAGTTTAGGTTGATATAAATAAGCAATAAAGTGTTAAACGCAGTAGCTGCATAACCATAATCGATTCTGTTCATTTGTTTTTGCTTTCGAATGACATCAATGTTCTTTCGAAAAAACATAGCGCGCGCTTGCGCAGGACTAAGTATAACTATGACGTCATTGTATTGTGACACAAGACTTCGGTGTTACCACTGACATGTACACATACACGGTCAGTGGTCACGGTGGTGAAGAGAGGGTGCAACCCATACTGATACTGAGGTATATAACAAGGTAAGATACTACTTTCCGTCTGTCTGTCTGTCTGTTTCTACTTATCTACTAGCTATAGAATACTAACATGTGTGTGTTTATGTTAGACATAAAGTTGCTGGCGTATCAAGTGATTTTGATGTATATGACACCAAAGTAGCTTGGAATGCACATCGCATGTCTACACATCAAAGGCAGGATGGCGGACATGATGTCCGTCGTTTAAAAAAATTATCTGATGTAATAAGGTTTGCAAGACGAGTCAATCCTGTCAATATTACAACAGCATATGAATCGAATAAGCCTCTGGGTAGTAGTACTATAGATATTTAGTATCCGGATATTTTTGAATTCGCAACGTTTTCTTTGCAAAATGGCCTCCCGTCCACACTTGTCACCTGACATTTTTGACACCTCGTAGGATCCATGGGAGACCTCTTGTCTCTTTTGTGAAGATAATCAAACCCAGGATGATTCAGCTCCACTACTACTAACCTGTAGACTATGTACTAAAGTGTACCACAAGGATTGTCTCGGTAAGAGGGGTCTACTGACCTTCAGAAGCAGACCTGGCAAACACGGAGGTTGGTTGGAGCTGCCCGTCGTGTGTAAGTAATATGCTTTGTTAACTAAATAATCGTTAGAGAGTGCGCATTGTTATAAATACATGACGTGGATAATAAGAAGGTCTCGTTTTCTTGTTACAGGAGACTTTGTTTTGGCTTTTGTCGCGTCAGACGTCGAGAAAATAGATTTGATGGAAATGTTTGACGAGATAGATACAATTAACGGTATGTGAATGCTTAGCGTGGTATATCTAGTTCTGTTCACGCGAGAGACTGCTAACAACTAAAGAAGCGTGAGAGTTCTTATGCTTTCTAAGGAAGGTTTTTTTCATTGGGGAGGGGAGGGTTATCAGCAAACTTGTTTGGAGGGTCAAAGCTTTTTATTTTGACGAAAGTTGTTTCCTTGGTAAGTTATAGGAGGATCATGAAGAGGGAGGGCTAGAACCAATTTTAAAAAGTTTACTGTGAATCCCTCAAACCTCAACTCCCTAATAAAAAAACATACCTTCCCTTATTATATAGCTTGGATCGTAAACGCGGTCTGTGCTAGAACTGTGCTTTATTAGTGATAGGAGCATGTTTATGACGTCATACGCGCGCGCAGCAAACTTGGCACAATAATTGTAAAAAAACAGCATCAAAAACTATAACTAATTTTTGCTTTCTATATAATAAGACAACAGCGTTTTTCCTGCTTCGTTCAGTAATAAAGCACTTAGGAAGCGCCGAAAGCACCCAAGAAGGACTAGAAGCACTCCCCTACTCCTCGTGCTTACGTCACAGAGAGTGAAAAGAAACGGTTGAAGACGATTTTTAACGATAGCGCGTACCAGCATGCAAAATCACCTATGCCCGTGGACGCAATCGATTTCTTGTTTATAATATCCAACCAATTAGAAAGCGCATTCTGTCCTGGCTATGTTATAAATGTTATTGACGACAAAGTTACATATGGTATTTGGCTTCTATCCCGTGTATTAATGTCTAGCCTCGTAGGTGCTCATAGACTCGTTAATCAGCCGAGAAGAATATTTTTACAATAGCTTACGAATTTCTGGCGCGCTGATTGGTTATTTTTTATCATCAATAAGAGGACAGACAGATAAAGCTGACGTCAACGAGCGAGTGCTCTTTCCGTTGGTTGTTTTGATCAGTAAAAATGAGAAGTTTTTATCGTTTTTGTTATTGTAAAAAAACAAATAGACACCGTTTTTTAGGTGTCTGTCTTCTTATTGACGATAAATTTCGTCATCACATTGTCAAAGTAGTGCGGATCCACTCGGCTACGCCTTCTTTGTTACGAAAAAAACACAACTGTTATAAATAAGTTTTTTTATGTGTATATRAGTGTAAGCTACATCGGGTTCTCGCGGGACTCGAACCACTGACCTCTCGTTTGCTAGRCGAGATCTCAACCGCTCGGCCACTGAGGCTTTACGAGTGAAGGTCGTGTTAGATCTATATTTTAATCAAATCCGCGCGTGATCTTTTACCCAACACGAGACGGGACGAACACAGTTCGGAACCCGCTCGGAATATCCGTTAATCTGCTCATACACTCGATGTAGCATACACTTAACATATAGATCTTTACCGAGTGACAAAAACACATTTCATATTTTTGTTATTAGGCGATGTATATAAAGTCATTTAATGACGTCACACTCGAGTCATTTTTAAACTGTGACGTCAAAGATGCATTAAACTTCACAGCTAGCGGTGCGATTATTAATCTATAGTTCTTCTTTTGGTTTATCGTCTTCGGTCTTTTTTTCTGTTTTGGTTTTAAGAAGGGTATCCATGCCCTCGTCAGCATGTAGCCATCCTTTGAATGATTCCTCGGACCCAGAACTTCCTATTACGTCCAACCACATGTTTGCTATCCATTTTGTTCCTTGAATGACGTCACATCCACCGTGATATGTCCTCTCATCCAGCTTACCAAGCCAACCTGACCAAAAGAACATGTTAACAACTAGACTGTACTAGAGTACGTAAGCCAGGCATTCTAGTGTTGCATACCTGTATTGCCGTCCCTGTAATGGTTGTACCACATAATCGCTTTACCCTTCTTGGGTTTAATGTACAGGTTCCCATCATGACAGTGTTTCGCTAGATTCAACTTGTATCCTTCAGACTTCAAAGCTTCTTGATCAAATGTCTTGTTATTAGCGAAAGGAAATGCTGTTTCACCTCCCTCTAACGGTTCGTTCAGAAACACGAGTACAGTTATGTACCTACAACACAAATAAGTTATAATTAACACCATGGTAATAAACGGCTTCCATTCATCGTTTACATGATTTCACCTGCATAACCGGCACTCTTCCTCTCTATGTAGAGTACAACAAGGCACTGTACTATTGACATCATCTGAGTCGTGATGGCTGTGGTAGTGTCCATGTACGCCATATTTAACCACCTTCGTACAAACCATACATTAAAATTAGCAACTTGTCTTGTGATGGAATAAGGCGTATCACGTGCTAGATATCTGTCTCGTGATTGGATATGACATATACCACGTGGTATATATCTGTCTTGTGATTGGATATATTGGTATATATCTGTGTCGCGATTGGATATGACATATACCACGTGGTATATATCTGCCTCGCGATTGGATATGACATATACCGCGTGGTATATATCTGTCTCGCGTTTGGATATGACATATACCACGTGGTATATATCTGTCTCGCGATGATTGGATATGACATATACCACGTGGTATATATCTGTCTCGTGATTGGATACCATCTGTTAATTCATTGCTAACTAACCTGTACTGGTTCGCTATGACGTATAACATGCATGGGTAATCCTGTCAAACGTTCTAGTCTGCAAAAAGAAATACCGACTTGAATTATGAATCATTAAAGCAGAGTATTGTATATGTGATTGAGTGATAACTAACCTTCCGTGAAAGTCAGCCAGTAAGGGATACTTGGGATTATCATGAAACATCCAGGCCTGCTCGCTGTTACGACTGCGCATGCGTGGAATTCTTCTCAACTCATCAAAGTATTCCACGATGGCTGGAACTGTTACCTTTTGGAACTCTTCAAAATCGATCAATCCTGAAAACATTCAACAGCACAATGTAACTAAGGTCACTCAAACCATTTTAAAGACTGGATTATTCGTGTTTAGCTCTTGACCGTCTATTTCCTATCTCCTTTGGCTCACAGATGTACATCCATATGTTCAGTATGTATTTAGTAAACCCCACTAACTTACCATCTCCATTCGTATCCATCTTCAAATCATCAAACCTTTAGTTGAGAAACGAACCGTAGCATGGTTATTACTAAACACATCAAATGTCAACTGAAATATCAGTTGAGTATTGAATGATTTGCTTACATTTTCAAAACATCAGCATCTGTGAGGTAGATATCTGCTTTACCAGGCAGCCAGGCAATCTGACGGAAAAAATAGATTGACAACCTTTAATCATCACTTGACAGTGTTATCTTGATTATATCATGTCAATGGTCCCTTGTGGGGCCTATTAGTTCCATCTAGTGCCCAGTTGTGCCTCCTGGTGCCTAGTAACGCTTCCTTGTGCATTGCGTTCCTCTCGGGGCCTAGTAGTCCCATCTAGTGCCCAGTTGTGCCTTCTGGTGCCTAGTGACCCTTCATTGAACATTGCGTCCCTCTCGGGGTCTAGTAGTCCCATCTA